CGGGCCGCGGGCGCTCGCGGGGCCCGCACGGCAGGGCGGCGGCGTCGACGGGCGGCGGGCCCGGGGCGCGGCCCAGCGCCAGGTGGCCCAGCTTGGCCACCACCTGGCTGTTCTCCAGCTCGTTGTTGTCGAAGTTGGCCGCGTCGTGGCTGCTGGGCGGCAGGCAGGCGCTGAAGCGGGCCTGGCCGAGGCGCGCGGGCGGCAGCGTGTCGGCGAAGGCACTCTCTGCGCGGGGACAGGGGGCGGTGAGCGCGGGCCGGCCCGAGGCCCCCGCCCCGCCCCCTGCGAGTGGGCCTACGCGCCTCAGGGGCCCAGAGTGGGACAGGCGCAATCCCTAGCTTACCTGCGCAAGCTGACCTTTGGGCTGGGCCCATCCCTTTCCCTCCTCGGCCTCTACTTCCGTCCCTCCTCCCTTTCCTCCTCCGCCTCTACTTCCATCCTTCCTCCCTCAACCTCTACTTCCATCCCTCTTCCCTTCCCACTGCCTCTACTTCCATCCCTCCTCCCTTTCCTCCTCCGCCTCTACTTCCACCCTTCCTCCCTCCACCTCTACTTCCGTCCCTCCTCCCTTTCCTCCCCCACCTCTACTTCCATTCCTCCTCCACCTCTACTTCCATCCCTCCTCCCTTTCCCCCTCCACCTCTACTTCCATCCCTCCTCCCTTTCCCCCTCCACCTCTACTTCCGTCCCTCCTCCCTTTCCTCCCCGACCTCTACTTCCATTCCTCCTCCCTTTCCCCCCTCCACCTCTACTTCCATTCCTTCTCCCTTTCCTCCTCCACCTCTACTTCCATCCCTCCTCCCTTTTCCGCCTCCACCTCTACTTCCGTCCCTCCTCCCTTTTCCTCCCTCTACCTCTACTTCCGTCCCTCCTCCCCTTCGTTCTCCGCCTCTACTTCCATCCCTCCTCCCTTTCCTCCTCCACCTCTACTTCCGTCCCTCCTCCCTTTTGCCCTCCACCTGTACTTCCATCCCTCCTCCCTTTCTCCTGCCCCTTTCTTCTCCTCTTCCCTCCCTCCGTCCTTTCTCCCTTCTTCCCTCCTTTCTTCCTTCCTCTTCCCGTCCCTCCCGCAGAGGTTTTCATCCTTTGAAGAGTTAAAGGGCATTTGAAAATCCTTTGTTGTCTGCCTCCCCGACTAGAACATAAGCTCCAAGAGAAGGCTCAAACCCTGTATTTGTGGCCTTATTACGTGACAGGCGTGATTTTAAGCTCCTTTCACGTGTTACCTCGTTTAGTCCTCACACAACCTGGGAGGTGTGTCCCATTGTTACCGCCATTTAGCAAAGAAGGGAGCTGAGGCATACGGGGGTTAGGGAACGTGACTGAGGTCACACAGCGACCAAGTGGCACAGCCGCGACTCGAACCTAGGCGTCTGGGGCCCGAGCCAGGGCTCTGGCACAGGCGCTGACTGAGAGGGGCAGTGTGTCTGCAGTAGAGCCCGGGGCCTGGTGGCGCTCAGACAGTGAATGTGTAAGGCTCTACAGGATACAGACTCGGTGTATGGCTCAGAGAACAGCAAGCTAGAGGCAGTTTCAAAGAGTCAGCCATGGAAATATTTCTGAATAGTTTTTAGTAATAGGAAAAATGTTTTTGATACTACATACTCTAGTTAAGTAAAAAAGCAAAATAAAAGTAGTGTTTATCTTTGAGGTAGTACAGGTCTTCATGCTTTGGCAGATTGCCTGGTGTCTGTCTCCCCACCTAGAACAGAGTCCCTGGAGGGCAGGGTCTGCGGGTCTGTTCACCCTGTTCTCGGGCTGAGCAGAGTGCTGGGCAAAGAGCTTCATTATGATGTTCATTGGATGGATGAATGAACGAATGAACGAGGTCTCTGCGGAGGCTGAGCGCCACTCGGAACAACAGCTCAGGGAAAGACAGAAACAGCCATTAAAGTGTGGTGAAGTTTTTTAGTGGTAAAAAATATTCTTGGTACTATAACCAGGAAAGCAAGAAAAAGTGTTTCTCAGACTTTTTAAACCAGACCCCTCTAGGTAAGATTTTGTTAAAATGTTGCCATTCTATAATTTATATCATGGAAAAAAATATTTCTTCCTCTTTAGTTTTCCAAATCTGAAAAATGCATTTTCAAAAAGCATGCCCCAGCCCCTGGTGAGTGTGATCTGTTACTCCCAGCCCCACCCGTCCATCCAGGGCACACTTTGCAAACTGGCCATCGAAGTTCTGACCCTCCCTGGCTCGTGGACTTGGTTGGCCTACTAGTGTTTTTTCCTTCTTTTTTTTAACTTTCTTTTGAACTATAAACATATACACATAGTACAATGAATGCTGATTACCCAGATTCAACAATTAATCAATTCGTGGCCAATCTTGTTTCACTGACACCCCCACCAACTCTCACTCCTATATTATTTTGAAGCAAATCCTAGATGTGTCTTTTCATCTGAAAAACTTCAGTATGTCTCTCTAAAAGTTAGAGACTTTTATACTGTGTGTGAGAATATACTTTTTCCCCAGTTTGTTTGAATAAACATCCAAATGAAGTCCATTCATTGTCGTTGGTCTCTTTTAAGCTATAGTTTGCCGCCTCATCTCTTTTTACCCCCTTCCATTTGTCTGTTGAATAAATCACTTGCTCTTTTAATTTTTTTGAATTAGTAGCCAGTACTAGTGAATCAGGAGATTTCACTGAAACTGGACTTCCAGCCCCGGAGCGTCAGGAGGCCTGGTGACGCAGGCCCGAATTTGGGCACAGCTGCCTGGCCGAGGCCCACCTTTTGTTGAGAAGTCTGCTCTCCTACCCGAGGCCTCTCAGCTGCCTGCCTGGGCTCTGGGGGTGTCTGAGGGGGAGGTGGTGCCTGGGGGATGCCTCCCCGTGACCTGAGGGGAGAAGTGCGAGTTCAGCGTGGTCTTTTAGAAAGTATGTCTGTGCGCATGTGTCTGTAACTGTCTGTCTAAACCACTTTGTTCGTGAGCATAGGAAACCAAGTTCTGGAAAGAAGTGCAACAAATGTTAATGGCATTCTCAGGGTGAAATTATGAGGGACTTTTCTTCAGGTTTTCCTGTATTTTCCAACATTTCTACAGAAAGCATGGATACTACAAAGTTTTATCATCAGAAAAACCCCAATACTTTAAAAAACCAAGTTTTCTATCAATCTTTAACAATGTGGGAAAAGGCCCGTGATACAACATTAAGTGAACAAAAGAGGACACAAAACTGAATATGGGATTCCTCAGACTCTGATCGTGTGGGAAATCTATGTGTAGGATGCACAGGAAAAATATAGGAAGGAAACAGGAAAATTTGAGGATGGTTTCTCTGAATGGAAATTTGCTTGATAGTTTTTGGATTTTCTCATTTTTCTCTAACGAACATGCACCGATTTTGTAATCAGAAGAAAAGCATGTATAAAAGTAGACCTAAAACAAGCAGGTTTTTGGCAAGGCATTTTAGACAAGTGGTGTTCCGGTGGCGGCCACTCTGGCGGAGCCTCTTGCTGTAGCACACCTTCCTGGGCCCTTTCCCCTGCCGTCCTGCCAGGCCGCGGCCCGCCCTGGGCCTCTGCTCCTGCCAACACGCTGTGCTGCTGTTCCCCACCCCAGAGCGCCGCCTCCTTGCCCCTGAGGACTCCACATGGAGCCTGTCCTTGAGGGCAGCATCGTATCGAAGAGCAGGGCCTGTGGAGAGGGGCAGGTGTAAGTCCACGTCCTGCCTTCAGCCCTTTCTGGCTGTGTTACTTTAAATTCTTTCACCTCTCCAAACCTCAGCCTCCTCAGCTTAAAGTGGAGCAGTGATGGCAGCCCTCCCCTAGGAAGTTAGGGAGATTAAATGAGATGCTTTCATCAAGAGTGTAGCACAGAAAGTGGCATATAGTAAGTGCTCAACGCGTGTTGTTGTTATCCTCATAACTCCTTCCTTTATTGAACAAGATGCACAGAGACCTCACCATGTGCCAGGCGCTGCACTGGGCACTGGGTGGAGACGGGCATGGCAGGCGTGGCCCCTGTGTCCACGGGTGCCCTGCCAGTGGGAGAGGCAGACCAGCGAAGCACCTGACAGACACTGGGTAAGCACAGACTGATGAGAGCCACCAAGAGCCACGGGGCTCTGTAAAATGGGCATATCTAGGGTGGGGAACCCGGACTCCGAGAAGCAAAGGGAGTTACTCAAGTCACACAGCCAGGGAGTGACAGAACTGGGATTCAGAGTGTGGAAAAGGGGGGACTTGGTCACAGGCGGGGCCTGAGAGCGGGTCAGAACAGGCCTTGCTGACAGTGACTGGAGCTAAGAGCTGAAGGCCAGGGAGTGGTGGCTGGGAAGGGAGTGCAGGCACTCCAGGCAGGAGGGACAGCCGTGTGAAGGAACCGCATTTCGGAGGTGGACGCTTGGTGTGTTTGTGAGGCTGACGCTACAACATGTGTGACAGCAGGTGGCCTGGCACGTGGCACGCAGCAGCCCCAGGAGGGGTTGGGTCCCTTACTTTATCTCTCTACAAGCAGCTTTGTCCCCATCAGGCATTGCCCCTGAGTGAGACAGGCCAAGACGGCACAGGGCTGGCCTAGGCCTGACACTTGAGAGTCTGCCTCTCAGAAGGTTCTCTGTGGAGCTGCTGGCTGAGGGAGAAATCCTGCAGCGTCAAGAGGCCACCCACGGAGCTTATCACGACTTCCAGCTCCTAACCTGTGACTCGCCTGCAGCCCCGCTCTGGACCTGCTGAAAGGACACGTGGCCATTTTCTAGAGCACCCCCCCAGAGGCAGTGCTGTGCATGTGTGATCCCCATCAGTCCTCGCCACTCTCCCATGCAGCTCTGTAAATGGGTGCATCTCACAGTGGGAGAACACAGGCTCTCAGAGATGGAGTGAGTTATTCAAGGTCACACAGCGGTGACAGAAATGGGATTGCATCTCAGGCTACGAGACTCCAAAGCCAGGCCCCTTGACCACTAGCAACACCGCCTCCTAAATTCAGCTGTCCCTGTTCAGCTCTTAGAGCTGCCCAGCACACGGACTCAGCCTCAGGCCATGGGGCTCCTGGAGTTGCAGTGCCCAGGGGCCTAATGTGAGCACTGAGAGGTAGGGTCCAACAGCCCCCTGCATCCCCCAAACATCAGAGCACCACCACAGCAGGCGTCCCAGGCCTGGCGCGGAGAGGCCGGGATGGGCTCCCCCTCCCCCGCCCACCGCCACCTCCAAGGCCTGGCTCTGGAACTGGGAGGGAGCCGGGTGCTTCCTTTTCTTTCACTTCCCCAGCTCTCTCAGGT